CATGGATCGCGGCTAGCCTTTTCCTCGGGCGATGTCTGATTCTGTACATAGCTTTGTGCAGAGTTGTAGCGGTTTCAGGGAGGTTTATTTCGGCATATGGTCCCCGCCTTTCTTGGCGCCGAGCATGGCAGCTTGGCTGTGTTCTCTCTGCAACCGCTTGGTGGGTTGCTGCAGCAATCGGACCGCCTGCCTCCATGATGATGTGTGCCATTATCAGCGAGCTCCTTGCTGGCCTTCCTGGACTTGCCTTGGACTTTGGCTCTGCCCTAAGTTCGGCCGCTCAGCACTGTGTTCGGGTCCTCCCTGCCATCGTTTCTGGACTTGCTGGCGTGTGGGACCGTTGCTGGACTTGGCTCCGCGGCAACGGGCACTCTGATGGCGACGGTGAGCGGACATGGCCTTCCCTCTCTTTCTGGCATTCCCCTTTCGCCCTGTGTGGATGTGTTATGCCGGTTGGGGCCCGATTTGCCGGTCGCAAGGTAAGCGGGGTGCGGTACTGTGCGAAAGTGCGACCACGGAGGTCCTGTGGCCCTAACTTCCATGTGACTTTGCTCCTGCTCTACCTCTCGGTTGCTGACGGAGCTACTCTCCGTCTGGGTGCTGCTGTCCTTTCCTCTTACCTTGTGCAGCCCCCCGAAGCAGTGCAGTTGCATGCGCATGGGTTCCATGAAGGCCTCCCTGTTCTCAGCACAGGTCCAGTCCTTCCCACTCCAAGTGCTGATGAGATGTGTGACGTCTATCCAGTTGGCCGGACTGGTAACTTGCTGTTACCACGCACTGACCGTAGCCGCAGGCATCTCGCGGTGTTTGTGGGGACACCCCCTGGAGCGCCTGTCCTCGACCCATGTCCCATTCCCTTTCTGGTTGATGAATGGCTGCATGGGCCGCTGCTTCATGCTAGGTTAGCCGCTGCTCTTGGTTTCCCTACTGGGGTCTTCGTTGTATCTGGGGTCCGAGGAGTTCTTCCTGGGTTGCCGAGTGAACAGCTTCTCCTCACGCCAGCTGCTTGTTCATGGCGGCAAGTGTGGCTGCCCGTCGATTTGCGACAGCTTGGTGGCCGAGTGTGTATGATACAGTGTCCTCGTGACTCCACTTGCAGGGCGATCGCCCAACTCGCCCTTGCTGCTCAATCCCTGACGGCGGAGGTTGACCTTCTTCTTGCTCGTTGCACGTGGGGCTGGTTGACCCTTGCCTCCCAACCTCTCTTCTTGCAAGATGTTGACACGCTGCAGTTTCAGATTGGTCCGGCTGTTGAGGCTCTTCAGGGTCCTGTCGGATCGTCCCTGGATCCTCCCCTGTCTCTCTTTTCTGCGATGCAGGTGAGCCTCCCAACTGCTCCGGCCGCCTACGACGCCTTTCCGGGTCACTCGCATAACCAGGCCGTTCTTATCACACCCAATGGGTTAGTATACGTTGAAGCCCCGGTTTATGCTGACGCCGCGACCTTCCGACGCATCGTGTCTACGCGGGCTTCCCCTGCCGCTACTGGTGGCGTTTTGCGGATCTGGCACCCACTTCCCTCGCTCCCTCTTGTCCAGTTTCTTGAGGTTCACTGTGCTGAGGGTGAGGTGCCGTGCATTTTGGATTTCCGTCCTGTGGGCTGGAGACTGACTACTGTCTGCATCTCGCCCCCTGTCACTGCGCTCGCCGCTGTCACCGCGGCTTCACGTCGGGATCGCAACAGTCTTCCCCACGAATGGGTCGATCAGTGTGCCAGGGGTGGCTTCGGTCTTCTTCACAGGGAATTCTCTGTGCTTCCGGATCAGGTCATTTCAGGGAGCTTTCCGTTGGTTATCATGTTCTTCCCGCATGTTTTTCGACAGGACTCCTCGTCTTCCTCGGAGGACCAGGTTGGAGGGTGGGACACTCCAGGTACTTCGGATACCATTTCCGCCCTTCAGCACACCTTGCTGCCTTCACCCGCGAGAGCTTCCGCTCCCGCCAGTATACCTGCCTGCACCGGAGTTACACCCTCTGCTTTCCTTAATTCTTCAGTCCCTAGCGCTGCTGAGCACATTGAGGAGCCGGCTTCGGACACGTCTGCTGCTGCCCGCATTTTGCGAAGGCCTTGGGTAATCCCTCATATCTTGGGTGTCTTAGGTGGGCGCGCCGGAAGGCAACCTGGACTTGGCACGTGGAGTGTTGCTTGCTTCCTGCTGCACCTTTCTCTTGTTGCAGCGGTTCAAATCCACAGTGAACCTGCATCGCCACGTGATGCTGTTCTTTCTGCTGCCAGAGCTCCAGACCGCCAGATTGCTGCTCCTGCTGGAGCCCACTCTCACCTGCAGTCCAAGTGGCTCTTGACTGGTGACTTCGGGGATGGCCCTCTCTGGTTATCGCTTCCGTCACCTGACTCGGTCTTCCTTATAACTTGCCGTCTTTGGCTGCCGGGCTCCGATGTGCGACTTGAGTTTTCTAGCACCGATCGGGCCCGTGATGTGTCTGCGGAGCTGTACCGCCAAGCCATTCGACTTGGCAGATCTCAGATTGTTGCGGCGTCGGTAGGGCTTACGCTTGAAGCTGTTCACCTTGTGTCCCTGCCATCGCACCCGGAAGCAATTACGGTCCTTTTTGACCTAGGCAGGGAGGTTGTCTGCAGCGAACTTCCGTTCGACTATAGTCCGAATCAGGTTATTACTGCCGCGCAGGAAGCAGCCTCTAGCAGTGACATCCAAATCTTGAAAGGCCTGGCACACAGACTTCGCCACGGTGATGTCATTCGGGTGATTGTTAACTCCGAGCAACGCACGCTTGATGTCTCGGCGTTCACTCTCCCGCCTCATGTCACCTCCGCCTCTCGGTGGCTTCGGGAGTCGAGGGTGGTGTCCTTCCTTCATTCCGTCGAAGGGGTGCTCTCTTTCGAGGTTCCGCGGTCGTACGCCCTTGACATCACCGTGCTGAGCACCCTCCTGCATAGTGTTATCCCTGGCCGTCATGTCTTTGTTGAGATCCCCGGGGCAGATGCCCTCCCACATGCGGCGTTTTGTGTTGCTCGGCCTGGCCAAGACTGTGTTACTTATCGCCTGACTGATGCCTCTGATCCTTCCGCTGCAGGCCTTTTTCTTGCCTTTGCAGGCGTTTTCGAGTCCTTCCCTGTCTTTCTCGACAGCCTTCTTTACAGCAATCGCCCTGCAGCTGTCTTGCTTCGTCGGTTACAGCCTTTTGGCTTGTCGGTGCTGTCCTGGGAATGTACCGTTATCCCCGGCCGAGGGGATTGTCACTATTGGCATGTTCATGTCCAGGCTGACCTTGCAAGGGCTCGCGACTACCTCCTTCATTTGCATTGGGAGCCTAGGATTGTTCGTAGTCCCCCGCCCCTGCCGCCGCCTCGGGTTCGAGTCTCTCATAGTGTTGGGGTTCAGACTAACGCTCCCTTTATCTCCGCTAGCACACCTGCGGCTGTTCTGCAAGCACCCCCGACCCTTTGTGGCGCCGGGGTTACACCGGATTCCGCTTCCGAGCTTGTTGATCTCTGGTGCGATGCTTGGCACGTAAAGTGTCTTGTGGCCTGCGTGCCTGGATTCGCTGTCTGGGCCCTTCGCGAAGGGGGTCGCCTTGTTGGCATGTGCACACCAGTTCCTACCTGGGAGGCCGTTGCCCAAGCGCTTTCTCTCTCCCTCTGGGAGCTGCCCCAGACCTTTTTGTCGGGTAGTAATCAGATCTGGCCATTTCCCCGGGACCTTGCCAGTGTCGTTGGGAAGTGTGTTAGTGTAGGCTATGACTCGCCCGAAGGGATCTCGCAGTTAGCGCATAATTGCCATTCACCGGTTCCTAGCCCACCACCCGCTCCACCGACTCTTGTGTCTCTTGCACTTGGGCTGACTTGTCCCTGGCGCAGCTTGGTCTTGTGCTTGTTGGGTCTCCTGGCGCTCCCTGTTGATTCGGTGCAGCTGCCTCTTGAGCCCGCCACTCTTGTTCCTCGGCGCTCTGCTGACGACATTTTGCATACTCGTCGTGACTTCACGCGGCCCTGCACCATGTCTTGGACGCACGAGCTTGGGCGACAAACGCATGGTTTTGCAGTCGCGGCGCCTCAGTTAGGCGCCTACGTTGAGCGCACTTCACCACAGTATGAAATCCAGCTGCATCTGTGGTTACCCGGACAAGGCCCGATCCATCTGCGGGTTCTCGCGCGTCACCTTGACCTTCATCTTAGTGCATATCTTGGAGCCTTCTTGCCTGACTGTGAATATGGGCTCCATGTTGCCTTTGACTCGAACCCGCAGGTCTTGGACATTTTGGTCACCCCGCCATCCGCACCAGTTTGGTGGATCCTTAGGGATTCCATTGGGTGTGAGTTGCTTCGGCCAGTCGTCCAGCACTTTACCTCTCACTGCTCCTTCTTCTTTTGTGCCATTGAGCCTGATGGGGTTGTGCACAGTGTCGAACCCTCGGCTGAGGTGCGTCATATGTCACCGAGCCCCCAAGGCGCTAGGGCTCTCATTGGCCGTGCTCTCCCAGGGTTGGTCGGACGATTTGTTGATGGCGTCCTTCATGTCGTAGCGGCGAGAGCTTGCTCGCCGGCTGTCTTCGGCGGCCTGACCCTGTTTCTTCTTGGGGGGCAATCAGCTGCTATGCACCCGCCTTATAGCACTGCCCTGGCTACAGTCGCTGATGTTCCCCCGCCTGCACCTACTACCATGCGGATCTGGACACTCAATGTCCCCGTGCCTGTCGATCTGCCTTGGCGGCCACAGGGTTACCCAACCCGTTGGCTTCGCGAGTTGATGTGCAGGTTACACCACATTGACGACCCTGGTGAATTCCGGTCTACTCTCTCCTCACCCGGCGGGACCGTGCAGCACGTTCTTTTTGTGCCGATAGTGCCCACCACGCATCCTACTGCTAGATTCTGGCTGTTGCACTGGGGAGACGCGGCTGTTGTTACTTTTGGGCATACCCCTTTTCATTGGGATGTTGTCTCTGCTCACATCCGAGCCCTGTTTCCAGGGGGACCTTTGCCAGACCGTTGCCCAGCTCTTTCCTTTGCTGGCCAGTTTTACCCGCCTGGAGCTCCCCTGCCCGACTTTCCCTCTGGAGCTGTCATTCAGATTATCATTGGCGCTCTTGCAAGAATACCGGGAGACGATGATCCTTGGAACCCTGATCCATTAGTCATAGATAGCCCCTTCTTCCGTCATGTTCCCAGTCGTGGCCCTGCTCTGGAACCGGCCATCCGGCTTGACGGGCGTGGTAATCAACTTGCTGCTGGCGCCCTGCAACACCCCTTGGTCGATCAAGGTGTCCAGACTGACCTCTCGGGTAATGGAACCGGTCTCGACCATGCCACCGTTTCCCGGGTGCATCTACTTTCCCGTGAACTCTCCTTCCATACGTCACGACTGTGGGCGGGGCTTGCGGAGCCTGACGCCGAGCCTGTTGGAGACTCCCCCTCCGTTCTGAGGCTTTCTTCCCAAAGCGCTTGCGCTGCCGCCTCGGCCCCGAATGTCGATCTGCTTGATATCGGGGGTACTTCTGGCAGCCACAAGCTGGCTCTCCCGTCCTCCGTTAGCTGGTTGTTAGTTGGGGCTCTTTTCGGTCTTAGGGGGGTTGCTTTTAGGAGCGTTCTTGCTCTTGCCACTGTGAGCGAAGGCTCTATTATCTTCCCACCGCCTGATTGTCCGGCCGAGGAGTCGTCTGATGAAGACGGTCCCCCTCCTGTCCAAGCTGAGAACATGTCGGACGCTTCAGGGGCACCAGTCCCCTTCACCACTCCGGCTGGACCCCCTCCACCGGAGCCGGTGAACGCCCCTTTCCAGCCTCGTTTGCGCTACCTTCGTGCGGCCCGCCCTCTTGAGGATTATGCTCTGGGCCTTTGGCCCTCCACTCTTGACAGGGAGCCGGCTGCCGATGAGGATGTTATTCGCCGGGTCCAAGCTGATTTGCTTGGACTCCAACGCGGCCTACGCACATTTGCCGCTGCCATCCCATTGGGCACGCCCTTTTGTATCCACAATCCCTTCACTGCCCGCCAGCAATGTGACATTGTTGAATACTCTGCCGGGCCTGAACTTAATCCCTTTGTTCTGTTTCAAGGCCATGCACGCAGCCGTGGTTGGGCCGGGATGGTCTTGCTCATGCCGCAACCTGATGCCACAGCTGTGCATCTAATTGGTTGCCCCCAAGCACCTGGCAATGCCGCGGTGGGTGTCGTCATTGACGGACGCCTCATTCCTTGCTGCCTTCCTACATGTGTAGCTTGTGAGGCGCTCCGAGAGCTTCACTTAGACGGCCAAGCATATGATCTCCGACCTCCGGAAGTCCATGAAGAAACTGCTGTTGTCCAATTTCGCAACGGCGACTGTTTGGCGGCAGGGCGCCGACCCTCCCGCCAGCTTCCCTCCCAGCGAGATGTGCAAGCCGCCACCGCAGAAACCTTGGGGCGTGACACCGATGCTGCCACCTCGGCCCCCGGAACTACTTCTGCTGCAGTCAGAGCCGCATGGTTGTGGCTTGGGCTCGTTGTCACCTCCGCCAGATCGCCTGGTGTGGCCCCTGCCATTCTAGCTCTTTGTCTCTGGCACGCAGAGGTTCTAGGTATGCATAGGCCGGGTGGCTTCCCTTGGGGTATTGATCCGGTTAACCGGCGGTTCTCTGGCATTACGAGCGAGGACCCGGTTGAAGTTGTCTTGCACAGCCCCTTTTTGGGGGTTTTTCCGCCCTTTACAGCCTCCCAGGACACTTGTCACACTCAGGCCTGGGCCCAGTTTCGCAATGATGACCCGGGGTGGGCGGTAGACTACTTTCCGGTCTGGCCGGGGCCTGCATTCAATGAACTTTCCGTCGTTCCTGTCGGCCATGACCCCGCCCTTGTCACTATTATGCTTGTCTGGGGAGGCCACCATCGGGCCACACTCACGCCTCGAACTATGACGGTTGCGTGGCTGACTTCCTTCGTTGCCCGTCACATCAACAGTGAAGTTGGTGGACTTTCACTTCCCCACGGTTTGGCGGTTTGCGAATATTTTGATATTCCGCCTGCTGCTTTTCGGTTCCGCAATGGGGACGTTGTTTATATCCATGATCCCCCAGCGGACCCTGATGAGCCGTTAGAGTTTGTAGAGCCGTGGCACCTCCAGGATGGACTCGCGGCACACCACGCTCCCTGGGCAGTGGGGTTCCAACTTATGTTTCCGATTTCGGTGCACTTGCTCCGTCCTGCGAAACCGCCACTTCTCACGAGCATTCCGGCTGGCGAATCATGGTGTCCTGAAGCATTTTCATTTTCAGGGGACTTTAGACACCAATTCCCTGGCTTTTGGACGCCGGTCCAGTGGACGAGTGCCCGTGCCCTGCAATTGATGGCGGTTAACGAGGTTGCAGCTAAGGTTAATGTCGTAGCAGCTACTCCCGAAGGGCGGTTGTGCCGATCGGTTGACCGTGTTGTGTCTCGTGCCAGCCTCGCCGCTCAACTGAGGTTTTGCCCTGCGACGGTGCAGGTTGGCGGGATTCCGCCATATGCCCTAGAGCAAGCGTGCGAACTCCGCAACGGGGATGTTGTTTTTGGTGAGTTCGCTCGCGGTGGCTGTGCGACTGCCTCCTGCCAACTAGGTTTGTGGCTAGGAACTGCACTTGCCCTCTCACAGCTGCTCGTGGCACGCCAGTTCTTGCTTGTCCTCGCTGTTGGACTTGTTTATGGTGGTCATCCCGCGAGTTTCGGGGCCAGTGCTCTGCTGCTCATGACGCCCGCGGCGGCCATGATTCCACAGGCTCCTGCAACATCTGTGGCAATCCCAGATATCCCTGCTGCCACTGCTAACCGAGTCACCCTCACTCTTGCAAATCCTTTTGCACCCTGGCAACGTGTTGAGGTTGACCCCCGTAATGCCTTTGAGGAGATCATTGCAGATGCACATCACACCCTGACGTCGTGGCATCGGGGTTTTGTCGAATCCGGGCTGGTGACCGATGGTTCGCATGTTCTGGTCCCGAGACCCGGAGGGAGGCTCACATGCATACTGGTCACGGGTTTAGGTCAGCTTCTTTGTGTGGTTGTGCCCTCCTTTCTCACTCCCCGCGATCTAACCCAGGCCTTACAGCTGCGCTTTGGCCGCAGGGTCAGTGTGCACCTATCGCCCGGTCTCGCTGCGTCAATCCGGGATGCCAGACCCGTGCTCGCTTTGCGCTCAGGTGACTTGATAGCTGTACGGCTTTTCCAGTCAGACCCTTCAGCGGGGCCACGTGAAACGCCCGTCTTCCTGACCTGGGGAGCTGCGCATGCCGCATCAGCATGGCATTCTGACTTTATTGTGGCACACGCCTCCTGTGTGCTGTTGTGGTCACCCAGCCGACCCGCTCGGGTCGCTCTCCTCCGACACCAAGCGAGGTGGAATGCTGCCGAGGCCACCGTGTGCCAACACGAGGATGCCTTGGGTGTATACCGGTGGGCGCCGTGCCACGGACACCTCGGGACGCCTCCTTGGCTTGTTGAGCAAGCCACTGCTCTTGGGCGTGTCAATATCATTCAGTCTCGCGGCTCCACTAGGTGTGTCGAGATTGATAGAGGTGCTGCACACGACCTGTATGTTCACGGGTTTTCCCTCCGCCCCGCCTCCAGCCAGGCTACTGAGGAAGCCAGTGTCCGCGATGGTGATTGGTGGGTTCACTCCCTTGCAGCTGGATTGTTTGGCCGTCGGTTCCCCGCGTTGGCCGGGCTTTTGCTCCTTGTGCATGGTTTCAGCGGACCCGCCTGGGCGGTGTCCTCAGGATCTTCGGGCCGATGTTCCAGTGTCGACTCTTCGGAAGCCCGCACCATTCGCACTAGGATGCCGCCTCGGCGGAGTCGCTCCCGTGGCCAGGACAGCTCTCAGCGCTATTTTCCTGCGCGAGTCGATTTCAGCAGTGGCGAACCCTATGTCCTGCAGGCGGGGTGGCAGCCTGATTGTACTGACGGTCAGTTGTGTTTTGACCGCTGCTTTCCCGGTCCAAGGCCTCTTACCACCCGAGTCCTTTGCCCCCTGAGGGGTTGGAGTGAATCTCATTTTGCCCGGTTGGAAGGGCCATGGTCCCTGTTTGAAGCTGTTGGCTCCCGACACTGTGGGGCCTGGGCAACCCGCTTCTTTCCCGTCCGTGGGGCATTTCCGTTTGCCCAAGTTACGCTTGCCCCGGTTGCTCCCTTCGGGATGGCAAGTGTAGTCTTCCACACCCTCAGTGGCACTGCAGTTGCATTAGCGTCGGTTGATGCGTCGCTCGAGGACATTCAGCGACTGGCCGCCCGTCTCATTCCCTGCACACGGTTTTGGGTTGTCATTCCGCCTCCTTCCATCCGCGCCGCTAATATGCACACGCACATCCGCCTTCGCAACGGTGATGCTTTTGGCTTTTTGCCTGACTCTTCTCAACCCGGTTCTACGCGGTTCCCTGCTCTGCACTATCCGTCCCTTGATCGGGCGCGGCAGGTTGCCAGCTGGTCGTTGTCCTTCAGGTTTGACACCGGAGGACCCGTCACCCTGTGGACAACCTCCAACCGTTTTGGCCAGTTGGTTTATGTACGTGACAATGCGTATTGGGATCCTCTTGGCCCCACTTTTCGAAGCTTAGGCGGAGAGACCCTAACCGGTTCCTGGGTACCAGTCCTTACAGGCGACCTGTCGGACCTACATCTAATGTCCCGCACCTCAATTTCTGAAGCGCATGTGCTCTTCCTTCTGCCGCCAGAGCAGACACCGGTGGGGGTCTTCCTAGCTGGCTGCAACACCCACCGCATTCCCTTGGGCTGGCAATTGTTACCTGCCATCCGTTATGTGCGTGCCGGTAGCACGCTGCGGGACGGGGACGTCTTGGTTATCGCCCCGGCTGCCGATCTGGTTTGGGACCCTTTCAGTATCCGGCCTCCCAGTTTAGATGATGTGCAGCCGCAGAGTGCCCAGCACACTTGGCATCAATCTCTGACCTCTGCCTCGCCCGGCCCTACGGCTCTGCTAGGCTTTCTCGCGGTTTCGGTTGGTCGCGCTCCATGGTGGTTAGGGCTTGCCCTCGGGGTTGTTCTAGGGTCTGGCATGGTGCCATCTTACGAGCTCCCCGATCCGCCCATCCGAGTCGGGCTGTACCCATGGCGCGCGCGCCCTGGTGAGGGCGACCTCCTCGATCTTTCGGTCCGCCCTGAATTGGATGTTGTTCTGCTTAGTCCTTTCACAGGGCCTCGGGAGGCCGGTCGTCTTTACACCTCCGCTGCCATTACGGAGCTTCACACTTTGACGCAGGCCTGTGAGCCGGCATGGGGTGCGGATGCTGTGCCTGTCTGGCCGACTGCCGCCCTTCCTGCCTTGTTGGTCGTTCCTCGACCCCCTGACCCCAGCCTCGTGTGTCTGGCGGTGTCCTCGTTGGACCGGCATTTCTCTGTCCTGATTCCCTGCTCCTCCACCCTGTCATGGTTGGGGGAGGCTCTCCGTTTCCTTCAACCCCTTCAGGCGCTCTCCCTGCGGGCACCTAGCTCCTTGGCCGCGTCAACGCCCCCTGACGGCGTTATCCGATGGCGTTCAGGCGATCTTGTTGTCGCCCTGCCTCCGGCAGCCTTCGAGCCTACCTACCAGCCCCCGTGCTTCCACACTGACGCACAGGTTCGGCATTGTGCTGTCTGGGCCGTCGATTTTTCAGTCTCTGCCCGGATAAACTTTATACTCTGGCGCCCTGGGGTCCGTGCAACCCGGGGACATGCACCCGAAGGGGCACAGTGGCGGGCCCTCGACTTTACTTTTGCTGGGGAATTCTGTCAGCACTACCCTGGGCGTTGGGTGCCGGTACCCTGGATCGCCCAAGATCATGCCCATTTAGTTGTGGTGTCCGAGGACCCGACATATGTCAATGTTGTCATTGAAGCTGACGGTAGGTGCTGGTGTGCACCAGTCACTGCCGTGACGGACGCCTGGCAGTTATGGACTGATGTGCCCTCAATTCCCACTCAACCACGAGTGCTGGGTCTTTCACACCAGGAACTGCGCCAAGGCACTGTCCTCCGCAATGGTGACATTGTGTCAGGAGCGCCCAAGGTCGCCCCGTTATCGGGTGGCGTTTGGGTTCTCCTCGCTTTCTTTCTCTCTACCCGATTTCTACCGACTTTCCCGAGCTCCTGGGTTCTGCTTGCTGGCTTGGTTTTCGGGTGGTACCATGAGGCTGTTGGTGCCCGTCACCTTTCCATCACAGTTGGCCTCGCTGCCGCCGGGCAGGGTCACGTTAGGGCAGTTAGGATGCATGACACACCTTATCCTATAGGGGAATGTCACCGCCTATGGGAGCCCTCCGGCTCTGTGTCAGGGCCGTTTTCTGGTCCTGTTGATCGCCCGCCGGCGGAGTTGCGTCATGCTGCTGTTGCGTGGTCTGACTTTACTCAAGTCCTGCCACCTCAAGATCCTCGCATAGTTGACTGGGTACCTGTCCCTTCAGATCCACTCTTTGTTGTTGTCTTGCTTCAGTGCCCGCCTGCGACTCGAGCAGCAATCTTACCAGCCACCTGTCATGCTGCAGACCTTATCCGTGCTTGTCGGCGGTCGGTTCCTGATTTAGCTTGTGTTTTAGCCTCGCCCGAAATCTGGTGTGGCACCGCCACTTCCTTTACCCCGACTCTTTTCCTTCGGTCAGGGGACGTGCTGACCCTGGCATGTGCCGGCTGGGTTCCACGCTTGCGCTCTCCTAGTGGCCGCTTTTGGGAGACCTTTTATCAGGCCCGTAAATTTGCATTTTGGGGTAGCCCCTTTCAGATTCGTACGCCAGGCCTTCTGTTTGCGTGGTCGGCCGGTGATCCTGTTCCCTTGACGGTTCACACCGTTCAAAATGAAGTGTGGGACCCGGAACACTGCACATTCCGTCCCTCCTTGGCCCGGTACAGTGTCGACCGTTGGATCCCGGCGGCCCGCTGTGATCTGCTAGGCCTCCACCTTGTCCCTGAGAGTCTTCATCCGCATCGTGCACATGTTCTGCCTCTGCAGCCACCCCTTCGGTTGTTGGAGGTCTCCCGTTACAGCACGCGGGGTCTGATTCGGGATGGTGATAGCGGCTCTCTTGGTAGCAGCGCTCCCTCCCCCCGTCTTATGCTGTGCCTGGCTGGCCTTCTGCTGGCGCGGAATGCATTGCCGCTCTGGCCCAGTGGAGGAGCCCTCCTTTTTGCAGGGGCCTCTTTCGGTGCGTTTCCCTTCAGTGGCACCCTTGTCTTACCGACTGTTTCTTCTGTTGCGATGCCGGTCTTTTCCCAGACTCTTCGTGTGGTGTCGCCCAAGTGGCCGCCGATTGCGCCAAGCCGGGGTTCTTTCACCGTTGTCGGGGGACCTCGCCGTGGAGGAGCGCTGCCCTTTTGGCTAGCTGCCCCTGAGTCAGCTGGGAGGCCTTTTGCCCGGACTGCTCTTGTTCCACCGGCATGGTCCGCGTCCCTGCTTGACTGTTATGGCCGTGCGTGGGGAGCGCCGGCCGATGACCGCGACTTCGACGGTTCTCCCGCGACTTCTGCGATGCATTGTCTTGATTTGCAGGACGCCGGGTATCATTATGCCGGCTTGGCCGCGCATTATTTGTTTAAGCCCCTTCTCACCGACCTTCCTTCGTCACTGGCTTCCCTGCTCCATCAGGGATGGTGCCGGTTTCCCCGTTGGCCAGGCGGTGTTCCGGACGAAGTGTTCATTGCCACTGATGGTAGTGGGTTAGGCAAGGGTGGTTGGGCCATAGCTGTGTGGGTCTCGTGGAAGGGTAATTGGTACCGCCTCGGCTGGGACGCCGGCAGCCTAGCATCTACACCGTGGCTTCCCTCGTTTCCTGCAACCCATCTCGACCTTCGTTCCTACCTGGGGGAGCTGAGCGCTTTAGTGTCTGCTGCTGCGTGGTTCACAGTGTGGTGGGACAACATGCAGCTCCTGACCGGGAACGCGCCTGCCAGGATTACCTTAGCTGTTGACAACAGTGCAGCGCTTCAAGTCGCAGGGGGCCATGCTTCGGCGACAACGCCGCATGCCCGTGTCTGCCGGGCTCTATGGCAGTCGATCCAGTCCCGATGTTCGACGCACTTCAGGCATGTGCCAGGCCATACTGGCAACCTCGTCAATGAAATTGCCGATGCCTTGGCCGGGTACGGAACTGCTCATGACTGTTGTGCATCCGTCGGATGGTGCCGTCTGCCGGCTACATTTGGTGACTCACTTTTAGAGTGTGCCCCGCTCATGTGGCTCTTGCCGCAAGCTTGCCTGCAAGAAGGCCGGTTGTGTTGGCGCTCACCGGGATGGGTTGATTGCCCCCGCACGTCCATTCAAGAGCCCCCGCAGATACAGCCGCAGGTGCGACAAGATGACGAGCAGGTCAAACCTCTTCGTACCACTGTCACTCTTGTGCAAGCCAACATCCAGACAATTAAAGATGTTGATGTGTCCTTCTTCAATAGGGATGGACACGGACAGCGCCGCATCTACCTGGCTAAACAGCTTCGAGCTCTGGGGGTACATATTGCTTTTCTTCAAGAGTGCCGCAGCCGCCCGGGCCGATGGTCCTCCCACGGCTTTCTCAGCTTCCGTTCGGGAGCCGAGAAAGGGCTGTTCGGGGTCGAAATTTGGATCCGCCCCGACCTGCTGCACCCTGCTTTGAGTCTGGATGACTTCCGCATCCGTTTTGCCAGCCCGAAAATTCTGTTAGTGCAGTGTCAACGCGCTGAGCTCCCGGTTACTCTGGTTGCAGCCCATGCACCTCATGCTGAGAGGCCGGACGCGGAGATTCGGCGGTTTTGGCATGATCTCAGGACGCAACTTCTTCCTGCCTGCAATCGCGGTACTGTTCTGTTGGGTATTGATGCCAATGCTGACTTTACGGGCCGTGATGAGGAAGAGACCCTCGTTGGCGACCTTCTTAATCTCCGCCCAGCCAGGCTTGGTGACGATCTCCTTCTTGCCTGTGCTCATGACACGGCGCTGGCTGCCCCTGGCACTTGGTCTGAGGCCTGCACTGGACCCACTTGGACCTGGCAGCACACAGGCGGTAAGACCCAACGCTTGGACCACTTGCTTATTACCCATGGCACTCGGGTCTCTCAGTATCGCCAATTTCCTGAATTTGATATCTTGAATGGCGAAGCAAGGGATCATATGCCCATTGTCATTTCTGTTGACGTCTCCGGGAAGTCAGCAGGTAAAATGCATCCACGCTGTCCCTACTCGGCTGACTCCGGTGCCGCTGTCGCGGAAGCTGTCTGGGACGCTCTTCACCAGTCCACACCTGGTAGTAGTGCGGAGAGAGTTCAGCAACTTTGTGCTGCCCATGCCCGTGCGATCCGCTGCCTTCCTGCCCGGCCCCCTCTTCAGAAACGGCAACCTTATCTGTCCGACGTTGCTGCTGGCCTTCTTGACACTCTTCGTGACGCACGGGCCGAGGTTAGGCGGCTTCGCACCCTCTATCACCGGCAACTCTGTTTGGTTGCCTTTCGGGCATGGTGCCGCCGCCGCGTTGAGTCCCCAGCCCTGCCATGGGAACTTCATCAGGTTCGCATGATGATGGCGCATTTTGCACATGTTTGTTTCCGCCTTCGAGCTCAGGCTCATGCACAGGCACGGCTTGATAAGCAGGCCTACTTCGAATCCATGCTCCTCGGCGCAGTCGATCACTGGCATGCCACCGGGCGCCCTCTCGAGGCGGTTGCCAAGCTGTCTTGGGCGTCCAAAGGTGCCAAGCAAAAACGTGATGTTAGGGCCGCCAGTGGGTTTGACATCGATGAGCAACTCCAGCTACAATTCCAGCAGCAGGAAGATGGCCGCCCGGTGTCGGATGCCCAATTGAGCGCGGCCTTTTCTCTTTGGGCTGCTGAACCGCGTGGCGTTTGTCTTTTAGCCTTACCCACCCTTCTTGACGTTGAACACATGTGTCGACTCCAGCGCCGAGGCAAGGCCCCTGGCCCGGATCACATTCGTAATGAGGTCTGGCGAACCCACCCCGATCGCGCAGGCCGATGGTTGTGGCCTATGTGGGTTCACCTCGCTTGGGGCGAGGCCGAGCCACTTCACTTTAAAGCTTCTACTGTGGGGGCTCTCCACAAAAAAGGCCCAGCTCACATCCCCGCCAACTTCCGGTCCATAGCCATGCTGAACGGAGTGGCTAAGTTGTGGCACTCCCAACTTCGGGCCACCCTGGGTCAGGAAGTTATTGCTCACTACTTTCCGACCCAGCTCGGGGGTAGGCGAGGCGTTGACACCGGCCTTGCCCTCACTGTCTTCCGCTCAGCTGTCGACTTGGCTTCCGTTCATGGCCGGTCTTGGGCTGCCTTGTTTGTCGATATTCAGGCCGCATATTATGAGGCAGACCGAACTTTGCTTTTCCACGGTCGTGACCTTGAACCAGCTCTTGCGGGCCTGCAGCTGCCTCGTCATGTTCATGGCCTGATTCAGGATGGCGTCCTAGCGGGTCTCGGGGTTCCCGCTGACCAGATTGCTCTCCTGCGTGACTGCGTTGAATGCTCGTACTGGCGCCTTGTCGGCCAGCACCAAGCTATTATGGCAGGTCGAGGGTCCCGGCCCGGGGACGGACTGGCCGATGTCCTGTTTGGAGCCTTGTTCGCAGTGATTTTGCAGTGCCTCCATTTTGCGCTCAAGGCCGAAGAAATAGTTCATGCCACTTCCTCTGATGCCCTTGGGCGACCTGATGCGTCCCTTCAAATCGCATGGGCTGATGACCTTTGCCTGCTTGTTGATTTCATCCGAGCCACTTGGGCTGTCTCGAAGTTGCGTCGCCTTTGCACTATTGTTCTCCAAGTTTTCGAAGCCTTTCGGTTCCGCGTCAACCTTGGAGCAGGTAAGACCGAAGCGCTCGTTCACCTGCAAGGAGCAGGGGCTAATGTTGCCCGCAAGGATCTCTTAACCCCTGAGCCCCTTCTTGCCCTCAGTGATGGTAGAGGCATTAGGGTAGTCCCTGAATATAAGTACCTTGGGGTTGTGCAGCGCTGTCGTGACACTGGTCGACGGGATGTCGAGGCCGCCGCCGCGCGTGGCAACTCTATCTGGACTCAAGCCTCTGGACTTGTCCATTCTGAGAAGTTGCCGTGGATGCTCAAGTCCGTATGGCTGCAGGGAAGGACTCTCCCTGCCGCGTACTCCTCCCTTGCCACGACTTTAGCTCGTTCTGACCGAGCTTGGGGACCCCTGAATGGTTTCTACGACAAATGCCTTCGCCAGCTCGTTGGGTCTTGGGATGCTGGGCACCATGTGGCCTCTGTCCAACTGCGAGCTTGTACGGGGGTTCTTGATGTTGAATGTGCTACGGTTATCGCTCGTGTGCGCCTGCTCTGCCGCATTGCCTCGGGCCGCTCCCCTGAGGTCTTTGAACTGTTCCAGGCCAGCTGGGATCGCGGCGGGGAATGGTCTTCCCTCCTTGCTGACGCGGTGCGGCGTGTTTGGCCGGCCTGTGGCCTACCGGCACTCCAGACAGGCGAGCCTACCCTTCTCTGTGTGCGCCGGCATACCAAAGAGATCCTCTCGGCCTGTCGCCGGATCAGTCGGTCCGGCACTATGCTGTTGGCTCTCCATCGGGCGTGGAGAAGTCATGGCGGTCCGCCAGCCAAGCGGGTGATTGGTCTCGCGTCCCCTCACATATGCCCGGAGTGTGGTGCGACTCTCCCTTCGGCCCATGCCTTAGCGGCGCATGCCCATCGACTTCATGGGCGCGTTGCTCTGTGCACCCAGTACACGTTGGGGACGACCTGTCTGTGGTGTATGGTCGAATTCCATAATGCTGCACGTCTCCGGTACCATCTTTTGCACTCACCGAGCTGCGAGCACGGGCTTCGGTGCTGTGTTGGCCCTGTATATGAGTATGGTACAGGCACCAAACGCCGCGGCAAACAGGGCCATGCCAGGGCCCCGGTTTTCCGCGTTGCAGGCCCGTGTAATGCTACCGCGGCACAGCGTCGTGCCGCCGAGGAGGGGCGTTGCTGTACGGATGAGGAGCTCGCTGCTGAGTTACGCACTATCGCCCCTGGTCCAGGCTTCTCTGAGGGCACTCGCTCCTCTCCTGTTGTGCCCTTTCGCCGTGCAGGTGGTTACTCTACTCTTCCCCCTGGTGAAGAGGCTAGTACGATCTCGTGCCCTGAGGTCTTGCGCTCACCACTGGCTCCTGTTGCTTCCCCCACCGGAGCTTTTGACTTTGGTTCACCCACCACCTCGGTTCGGCTCCTCTCTGTTGACACCGCGGCTGCCTCTGCTTGGTACCAGACGCATCCAACGGAAGGGTTCTGCACTGTCTATTGTTTCGACGAGGCCCCTGGCGCCTCGTCGTTCTGCGTCCCCTCTTGCCGGTGGTGTGCGGTGCCTCCAGCCATCTGGTGTCTCCCGCCATCGTGGGGGCGGTGCTGGAAACTCTTTCTTGCCCTGGAGTCGCTTCATCCGTGGGCAGCTGAGACTTGGAGACTGTCTGCCTTTCTGCGTCAGGAGGAACGCCCCTCTCCAAGCGCCGCACTCGGATGCTTGACATGCTTTGAGCAGATCGCGGCACAGCGGATCCTTTTCCTGCGGCGACTGCTCACCTGTCTCCACTTGCTTCGTCAGCTTAAGGCTGGGGCTGCTCTGTGGTGCGCTGTTCCCCTGCCTGGCGCCTTCTGGGAACTTCTGCGCCGTGTCGTACCTCACGCTGTGGGTACATCGGCTGTCGCCGTGCTTGGTTTTGGCACTGTCGTTAGCCTCCCTGCGGTCGCCCCGCGGGCTCTTTCCTCTCTTGCTTCGGGCTGGCTCTCTTTGGCCTCTCCCCGTCGCTTGGCGATGCCGCATCAGCTTCCCTTGTAGTTTTGCGGTCCGAGCCCTTACGCCTGAGGCGTAGGTCTCGCTCCGCCGTCTTTTCGCTTTGCATGTAGGGCTGTAAGTTCCCGCTTTTCCAGGACCGCGGCCTCGCCGCTTTTCGGTCCGTCTCGTCTCTTGCACAGGACTAGAACCTTCTATGCAACGAAGAAAGAAAAGTTTAGGGTTTTGGGGTTTATCGTCTTGGGTTCAGCGCTTTGTGTTTGGAGTGTTGAGGCTTCGGGTTTCGGGTTTAACCGCAATCCCAAAGGGTCCAAAGTACCTCTATAGCAGAATGTAGGGTTTCTATGGGATTACCATTATGATTTGGGGAGGTATCCCCCACAACAGTGCCTAGGACCCTTTGGGAATGGTGTCGGACATGAAGGTTATCAGGTTGGTCGGCTGCTTGCAGTTTGTGGTGCAGGGTATACAAGGATTTCTGCAATAAACCCCAAACCCCAAACCCTAAACCCCAAACCCTAAACCCCAAACCCTAAACCCCAAACCCTAAACCCCAAATCCTAAACCCTAAACCCTAACCCTAAAGCCTAAAGCCTAAACCCCACCCCATCGATTCGAAGCCTTTGAAACCAAGGAGAAGGCCCTGACTCCAGCAGCCACGCCGAACGCCTTGGTTTTCTGCTTTCTCGTGACCTTCTGGCTTCTCAAGCTGGTGTAGCGCAGCTCAAGTATAGAGTGACGACCCACAACCCTAAACCTTAGACCGAAACCCGAAACCCTATAGTGGTTCACAAATCGTTGGCATACGGAAATCGACTTCAATGTGCCATTCACTCCGTTTTTTGGTAAAACCTGGCTCTTAGAACAAATCCCTGGCATATCTGACGAAAACTTGGGCTCAGAAGAGGGGGCTTGGGGAGTAGACACAAATGCCTGGCACATTTGATTGCAATTCTCGATTGGCTTAAAAAACGCTAATGGCCCTAATGCCTCAATGCCCGAATACCAAAATCTCCTTAAAATCCAAACATCTTGGTGCCACAATATTTTGGGAGTGTGGCTTGAAACAGTGATTCAGTTTTTCGATGGCTCACAAGAGGGGGCTTGGGGAGTGGACACAAATGCCTGGCACATCTGATTGCAATTCTCGATTGGCTTAAAAAAACCCTAATGGGCTTCGGGAGTAGACACAAATGCCTGGCACATCTGATTGCAATTCTCGATTGGCTTAAAAAAAAACCCTAATGGCCCTAATGCCCTAATGCCTCAATGCCCGAATACCCTACCCCCGGAACTTTTTTCCCTAAAGCCCTTTCGGATCGCAGCGGGGCGGGGCTGGGCCGGGACCTCAGAGTTTGTTGTCGTAGGAGGGTCTTCACTAGGAGTGCAGGTAGTGCAGGCTTCGGGGGTTTTTCGGGGTTTCTTCGAAGGTGGTTTGGGGCTCTGAGGCTGCAAGGTAGTGTCCGTGCGCACTCCCTTCCCTTCCCCCGCCTCCTTCCTCCCCCCACCCTTCCCTCGCCCAGGTCCGACCTCGTTGACGATGCTGGCTGGTCCCTCTGAGGTTTCAGGGTTAGGGTTTTTTTTTCGGAAGGCTGGTTGGGGCTCCGAGGCAGCGAGGCAGTGGTCCGTGCGCGCCTAGGAGTGCAGGTAGTGCAGGCTTCGGGGGTTTTTCGGGGTTTCTTGGAAGGTGGTTTGGGGCTCTGAGGCTGCAAGGTAGTGTCCGTGCGCACTCCCTTCCCTTCCCCCGCCTCCTTCCTCCCCCCACCCTCCCCTCGCCCAGGTCCGACCTCGTTGACGATGCTGGCTGGTCCCTCTGAGGTTTCAGGGTTAGGGTTTTTTTTTCGGAAGGCTGGTTGGGGCTCCGAGGCAGCGAGGCAGTGGTCCGTGCGCGCCAGGTTCAGGGTCATTTCTAAGGTTGGAAGGCGGGGGGTTTTCGTAGGCCGCGAGGTTTAGAGTGCAGGTGCACAGGGTTCTCTGCTATGGTTGGGGGGTTTTCGGGGTTTGTAGGTCCCTAAACCTCTCGGGGTACCCTAGGCCGCCTTGCATCCGGGATCCCCGGCCCCCCGCCTCTCTGCCCAGGTGCTTCCAGCTGGGGCGGCGCCGTCGTCGCCAGCTGCGGGGAAAAAGGGGGTTTGAGGCGGGCCAGGGGGGATAGCCGGAAGCATGCCTCACATGTGCCATCAATTTGTGTGCCTTCCTGGCGTGCCCTTGGGCAATCACACACATGCTGCCCGGTGTTCGCGATGTGAGGCGATGGGGTCTCCGTTGCATTCCACGAAGGATGATCTCCACGAAGAGGTGCGGCCGCTGCTTCAGATTGAGCTTAACTGCCTTTGTGCATTTTGCCGTGCTGCTGCTGCGAGGTGGATTGGGGTTTCGGTTTCGGGTTTTGGTGGTTGGGGTCTTGCCCGTCCCTCTCCTCTCGACAGCTTTCGGGCTTTGGTGGTGGTTTGGGGTCCACGTGTGCCGCTCACATGTGCCATCCATTTGTGTTGGTGGCTTGCCCGTAGTGCTGTGCAGGATCAGTTGCTGTCAGTTGCTCAGAGTTTTTTTTCGCCGTATGTGACACATGTGGACCAAAAAAGGGAAAGCTTGCTTGATTTTGGTCACTCCTTTAAGGTTTAATGTTCAATGCCAAACCAATGCATGACAACATGACCTATCGATCCTTTAGGTCCTAGCCTTTCGCCTCGCCGCTTCGCCATAGCTGCGCTCTGTGAAAACTACTCCAATTCCCTCTCGAGTTTGATCGTCAAGGTCATTCGTGCCGGTGATGGCAGATCGCGATGTGCCCGACTGGGTGCTGCCCTGCTTCAGGGGCTTCAGTGTCGTGCATGGTGGTGCAGTTGATACAGTCGAAGTGTGCCAGATAGAGGGCAAGAAGGCTGTCATGTATGAAGGGGTTGAGACAAGCGCAACGGTGGAGGAGATGTTGACTCGTCTGACTGATCCTGGCTGCTCTTCTGACCTTTACGAAGCAGTGGGCATAGCTGTGGTGGTTAAAAGGAAGAGACAGGACAACAGCGATGACAAGAAGCAGGACGATGACCAGGGCAACAACGATGACAAGAAGCAGGACGATGACCAGGGAAGCAGCGATGACAAGAAGCAGGACGATGACCAGGAAAACAACGATGACAAGAAGCGGGACGATGACCAGGGAAGCAGCGATGACAAGAAGCAGGACGACGACAAGAAGAAGGACAGCGATGATTCGGGCTTCGCAGCTACCGTGGCAAAGAGGCTGCGTGCTGGACAGTGAGCGGCTTTCACTAGAGTCACTAGAGCAAAACACAGCACAACACAGCACACAACAGCCACACACACACACACACACAGCAGCAACGACACAGCAGCAGCAGCAACACAGCAGCACACACCACAGCAGCACGACAACACGAGGGGTGAGGTCTCTCGAGGGTGTGCTCCGGGGTTGGTGGGTTGTACATTGCACATCCTAGGCATAGGCCGGGTATAGCATGGTGGGGTACTTGAGCACACCCTCGTTCGTACAGGCTTTCGCGGCGACAAAGGAGTGGGGTTTGGGGCGCTGGGTGATAGGTGCTCGAAGTTCAGGAAGTCCAGGGCACCCGAACCCATTTGGCCCCGTGGTAGGCGTGCCTTCGTCTTTGTCCTCCTCGACTTCTCGCCGCGCGTGATGCCCAGCTGCCCATTTTGAAGCTTTTGGGTTTCGGGCTGCGGGTTCTTGCTGCTCTGGTTGCTTGGTTACCGGCTTTACGACCTCAGGCCTTTATCTTCCTGCGCTGCTTTCGATTGATTTGCCATCACAAAAGACACATGTGCCAGGAATTTGTGTGCGTCCCCACAGGTCCCCTCCTTTTGCCCTCCGAGAGTGTTGCCCAGGTCCAGATCTTCGTCATCCAGTGCTGGCGCCTCTGAGGGTTTGTTTTGGGGTCGCGGTTTGGTTGTGTCGACTGCGTGCGGATGAGCGAGTGTGTACCTTGTCCTCCCCGTCGGCCCCGCATAGGAGCGATTTCACGAAGCGACTAAGTTGTCTTTTCCTGAGTGCCGTCGCAGCCACTGAGCCGCGTATATAAAAATAAAGAAAAGAAAATATCCCTGGAAAACGTGCCATGCATTGCACTGTGGGACAGTAAGTTTTCCATTGTCTAGAAGCACTCTTCGTTCGGGACTGGCTTCTTTTTCCTGTGGCATGTCGGTGCCGAACACCTTGTCTGATGACGAGGGGCACTGGGCTGTGCTGCAGCCGCCCGCTTATGCCTCGCAGATGCTTCGCTACCTGGAGAGTCAGCCCGTAGGGCTCAGGGATGAGGCGCTGGCCGATGCCTGTCGCCGGGGTATTGCTCGAGAAGCCCATGCTTCTGACAACGAGGCGTTTGAGTCGCCTGGAAGGGCATCTGCCGGCTCAGATGTGCTCCCCTCGACGACGGATAGGCTGGACTATCTTGAGGAGCAGATGAGGGACCTTCACGAGCAGAGTCGCTTGCAGCGCGAGCAAATTCAGACGGCCATCCGCCTAATCCACGAGGTGAAGAACCAAGTGGCTCCTCTGCTAGGGGCTTTCCAAGCTGATGCGGCAGGTCAGCGGCCTCGATCCAGAAGCCCAAGTCGGCGCACGTGAGGAAAGGCGTCTGCAGCCATCATTTGTGGTCAGGTAGCTTCGTCTTACAGTTTTGAGTTCCCCACAGGCTTCCTGGAAGGTGCGTGTGGTGGCTGGACCTCTCTTCGGCGTCCCAGGTCATAAACAGAGCGAGGATTGTTGGCTTGCTGGCTTGGTTTATGATGCAGTTCTCAGATGTGCCAACCTTTGGTGCAGGGTTTAGCCTAGGTCGGTTGAGTGGTCCATCGGTCTTCAAGGCTTGCCTTGCTTTGCCCAGGTCCTGATCTGGGTGTTGGCTCCATCATCGACGTCGTTGCGCCGGGTGCCTGGAAGGTGAGTTTCTAATAAACTGTTGAGTGTTAGGAACGACTGTTGTGGCATGAATTGGTGTTGATCCCCCTCCTATCCGCATCGCTAGGTCTGTCCATGTCTCTCTCGTTCTCGCTCTTTCTCTCTGTGTCTCTCTCTGTCTCTCTCTGTCTCTCTCTGTCTCTCTCTGTGTCTCGAGACGGCCCCGCCCAGGCAACTCGCGCATCCTCTCGCTGCTGGGTCAGCCGATAGGACCCTGGTGTGCCATCCATTTGCATGATTAGATCGGCTGTCACGGGGATTCACAAGCATGCTCACGCTCATGTCCATAGCCAGTAGTGACATGAGTGCCGACGGGAACCTGATGTGCCATCCATTTGTGGGATTTAGACCGGCTGTCACGGGCTTTCACAAGCATGCGCGTGCTCGAGTCCATCAGCCAGTGGTGTGGCATGAACGCAGACATGGGGGCATTCTGCGTTGGAGGCATAGGGTTTAGAGTTTATGACTTGAGGGTACTAGGGTTCAGTGTTTGAGGGTTCTCGGGGTTTTGGGATCAAGCGCTTTAGGGCCTGAGGGTTATTTTTAGATGCCTCCCTACCGCAGATTGCTAGAAGTATATATGGATGCTTGACACAAGATTCACAAGATGCCTCCCTACCGCAGATTGCTAGAAGTATATGGATGCTTGACACAAGAGAGGGCGAGTGGCAAGCTGAGTGCGTAGGCACTTTCCTGGCTGCAATGGATTCCACCCATCCCTTGGCCGTGGCGGGGGCACGCTGCATGAAAACAATTGCTGAACGAGCAGTTGCAGCGGCGG